ATATATATATATATCTATATATATATATATATATATCATAATACGTACCCAGGCCAGTTGGTTGGCATCCTCGACATAAGACCCCTTAGGTCGGGGGTTCGAATTCCCTCGGGCGACGTGAGCCTCAATGAGGTGGTACTCGAATTGTTAGGCATATTAGGAGTGATTGGAGGTTTGTATAATAGCCTCTTGCCTTTTCTTTAAAAAATATCTATGTGTGTGTGTGTGTGTCTCAATAATAGTGTTTGGTGCCCTGTTACAAAAAATTTAAGGACGAAGCTTTATTAACAATCTGTACCCTACTTGCATGCCCTCTCCCTCCTTCCCTGCTCTCCTACATTAGCTCTCTCAGTCTCTCCCTTTCTTTGGTCTCTCTCTCCCATGTCTCATTCTCTTGCTCACCCTCCCAACCTTCTCCGACTCCTCTCTCTCTTTCCATCATGCTTTTTCCTCCCCCCTCCTCCCCTGCGCTCTCTCTCACTCACTCCTTTCCAAAAGGTCAACCTAGGCAACAAAAAAGGGTTGATACCTTAACTAATGGATCATTCTGTTGGTTCGCTTAAATAGATTTAGTTTCACAAATTCTGTCAAATGGATCCAATGACAAACTATGACCACTGTTTAAAATTGTGTTATCTTGGATAAAGTAAAATAATAACCGGTGGAATCCTGCTGCCCTATAATACTGACGAAGTCCTTTAATACAAGAAGAAATAGTTTTTATTTGGGCCAATAGGCTTGCTCGCTAGAACCTTTATTGCATTCATGCCAGCAAAACTAAAATCACTTCCATCTGTGTGTGCGTGTACCCCTCCCCTACATCAAATAGGCATTTATGGTTTCAAATTCTTCTTTCAATCTTCTTGTCTACATGCAAATCACCTTGGTGAAAGTAATTACAAAGAAATCATGAAAGTTCATCATATCTTGACGACTCGATGTGAAATAAAAAAGAAGAAAAGAAAAACACTGACATGGAGGGAGAGAACAGAAAAAAAGAAAGGAAATAATAGTACATAGAATAATGGAAGGGTTTCCATAAAAGTTTAGTTCGGTGGTGTTACGTACCTTTCTTGGGTTTGGAGCTATGAAGTTCAGATGCTTCATGAAATAGAGTGCAGTGGACAAGCCTCCTACACCCTTAACACCTGTTGCCACACTGAAAATCATGTTTATTGTGTTTTTTAAATCTGGAAATACACGTCGAAAAAGTCGAGAAACAAAACGTAAATGGACATGCCCTATTATGGCCGTGACATGTGATGAGAATAAATTGTGTTTTTCCTGTGCGATAGATTCACAAATTATGTTTTTTATTGCTGATGGTGAAGGTTCTTTTGCGGAGGACATTGATATTAGTAGTGATGATAATTACACTCTCGGGTATATTGGGGCAATTCATAGCACTTCAATTTGTTCATATTTTGTGTCATTTTGAAAACTGTTCTTTTTTGTTTTTGGCATATTTTCCACGTGCACTATATTGTTGATATTGATGAAATTATGCCTAATGATTAATATTAATGCTAAGTAAGCAGTTGATAAAATATTGAAATGTGATTGTAACTAAACCAATGTTAGTTTTATTTTTGGTTGGTTATACTTGATATGGTACTGTGTGATGCTTTTTGATAAAATATTTTAGGGATAGATTTTTTATTACACAATTTATATTATTACTTGTAAAAGAAAACATCATATTCATTGCATTTTTTGCAGAAAGCGCCCAAGCAACTTGAAAACTCTAATCTTTCACATAGAAAATTTGTCAAAATTTACTTGAGGGTTTTTGCATTTTATTTTCTATGTTTGTAATACAACATAAGTGGCCCCTTTAGTAGGAGAGGTTAAGAGACCTAGTGATGGAATTAACTCATAATAGATTTGGTTTAAAACTGAAAATAAAGAAGTGCATAATAAATGAGATTGTAATCTTACGCATATTGATTAGGAAGACGGCGAGGGTTGTGCATGCTTCATAAAATATTGAAGTGAAATAAAATAAGAGGATCACCCAAGTAAGTTTTAGGCTTTTAGCTCAGTTTGGCTCATTTCAGCATTCCTAGATAAGGATGTGAAAGACTTGTTTGCCCTTCAACGCTTATGTTTAGCAGTTTTATATGCCCTGATTGTTAGAAGGCCAAGCTGGCTGCTACGTTGCTCTACGAGGTGTTAGCTGTTAGTTGAGAGCCAGTCTCTCCCTTCATGGTTTCTGGCATTGTTTACTCCCTGTTTGTCTCAGTAGGGCTGTAATTTAAGTGCTGTATTGTTGGGTGCCTCATAGTTTTCCTGTTTCTATATGTTATGAAGCTACTTAACAAATAATTGGTTGTTTTATTTTAATTTTTTTTTAATGAAAGATGATCATTGGAAGACAATGGAAGGAACTCATGGACTACAATGAGTCTATTGGTTTCATATCGCATGTAAGTGCATTGCATCTATTACCAATTCCATTGATGGAAATACAAAGTTTGATTTCATAATATTATTGTATCTTTACAGGATGATGCAAAGAGGCTTGACAGAGCTGCCAGGAATAAGTATACTGTATGAACTTTTATGTTCTCTGACGCTGAACGGTTATCCATGGAGGTACGGACTGGCTTGGGAACTCTTACGAGTACTCGTAAGAGGCGTAGTAATCTAGTAATCGGTTAGATTACTGTTTGATTTTGCTCGATAATGCTCCTATTTATGTCATTATATTTTTAATCAATTGTGGATGTATACTTTGTGGTAAAATCAATATCTTTCATGAAGTATAAAGAAGATTCGACTCTCGGTTTGATATCTATCTGACGTGACAACTATCACAACACTAATAATTCAAGGAATGGAATGAAAATTTTGCAAGAACATGTTGATAAAATTCTGTTTTTTTCTTGTTTTTTATTCCATGCTCGCAGATCACTATAAAGCTATCAAAATCTCATTTTTGTTTGAGGACGAATGTCATGTAGCATGCTTTTGCATTTCTTCAATTGTGCTCGCGACCTGGTATGAGTTCTTATAGTATAAAATGTTTGATGACACATTTGTTGCTAAAGCTGTCTTAAGAGTGATTTTTTATGTATTTAGATATGGATTTAATCCTAAATTTTTATAACTACTTGAAATAACTTTATAATCTCTAGATAACTCAAAATGTCACTATCATTAATTTAACTTGATGAAATATATATATTTTTTAATGCATACATTTTTATATGATTAGGATAATTAATGGTTTAGATACTAGATATGTATGTGTGTATGATTTTTTCTTTTGGTGATGTATCAAAATTCTTTCTAAAAAAAGGTTAGAAGTTGGATGCTAGTTGTCGCGGATTATTTTGCTTTTTAGTTATGATAATGAAATAGCTGACATCGATCATCACTGTCATGTATGTCCGATAAGAGATGGCACAAATATCAATGGAAATGGTGTATCCTCCAGATATTGAGCGCCTTATTACGTTGAGTTTATTGCTTGATTTCGTATTGCTACCAATTAGTGTCAAATTAAAATTCTTACACTACAATCGAAATATGTAAGTTCAATTACTCTTTGCAGTTAATATAGATAGAGTCAATAACGGCTGCTCTTAAAATTGTAGTCTTCATATGGTTTGTTGGATAAAACTTGATTAAAGGATGAGAGATTTGGTAAATTTTACAAGTGAAAAAAACTGCTACAAGAAGCTCTTTATCAAAAGTTGAACGAGTGACAAATGGTGCATGGTGCCTTTAAGTGAAGGCAGCTATGCTTGCACGATATTTCGGTGATAATGAGATTCCAAGTTAGATGTCCTAAGTTCGAGATGCTTGATTTTAAGTTCCAAAATTTATCTATAAAGGTGCATAGTTTCATATATATATATATATGTGTGTGTGTATGGAGAATATGGAGAATCCTATAGGGATATTTATTGATCCAACAAAAGATTATAGAGTACGGTAAGAAGTTCCCACTACACTCAAAAAACAATTTATAATAAAAAATCCAGGGGGTCTCTAGAATTATAACTCACAGCAAAACATACCTCTAAATTATAATTGAGTAGATTGAAAACCACCAAAATCTGTAAAGAAAATAGAAAACTAAGCAAGTAGCAACAAATGAAGGGAAATTCCAGAGAGATCAAGAAGAAAACAGCTCAAAACCTATGAAAAAAAGAGCAAAATTACCCAATCTTGCAGCAAATATATGGAAATTCCACTTAGTCTTCATGAAGCAGCAATTAAAGAAGACGAAAGGGAGTAACATCAACCATAACTTCATGCCACGTTTAGCCAGTTAATTTGTCGGCTGGTTACCCACTCTAGGGATATGACTCTAAATAAGCTATAAACTTTGCACAATAGCCATAATTCATTTAAAGCAATGTAAAATGTCTCACAATGCAGGTTTGATGCCCAAAAGAATGTAGTTAGGATCAAGTGAATTTAACTTGACATACACAAACTGCAAGTTCAATAAATGAGCAATTTTCACAGCAAACCAAACAACCCAAACCTCAGCTTCTAAAGCGTTGGAAGCCTGACAATGAGAGTAGTAATAGCACAAACATTTGCTAGTAGCATTTCTGAATACACCACCTGCACCGTTATCTCCAGTAGTCCAACTACCATCCGTGTTAATTTTCACCCAAGGTTTAATCAAACTCATCAAGAGAACTTGCTAAACATAGTTTATAATGGGTTTCACATTTAGCAATGCTTTTGAATTATTAACTATTTTTTGAATATAAGCATACATATTAGCCACTACTTTGAAATCTGTCATCTTACCTTTATCATGTTTGATTATATTCCAGGCCATAAAAAACCACTAAGATATGTAGGAACGAACTACACCATGTGATTAGGATGCTTCCTATGATTACAAATATCTTTACATAGAATCCAATTCGACAAGCCATAGCTAGGAATAATAATATTAAATTTATCCTCGAGCAATGTCCAATTACCGAAAGAAAAACTGCAAGTAAGATGCAAAAGGTCAAAGCTCTCCTCCTCCTTACACAAGAGGCAATGGGAAGGGAGTATCAGACCTTTGAATATGAGAATATCATCAAGGGGTAAAAGCAAATACAGACTTCTCCATATAAAGAAACATAGAAGGGGAAAGTAGTTTATCCCATATTTTCTTACCCCACTCCACATTATCCCAATTACATAATTTAAAATATATGGTTTAAGTAATCGAGAAAGAAGAATAGCTTTAGTCGCCAAATAATCCCTATTAGTTCTATCTATTGGAATCTTGGAGACTGAGTAAAGTGTCGACCAGATTAGTTAGCATATGCAAGTTTGAGCCACAATCAATCCAACAATCTGCAACTTTAATTTCAATGATTGACCCCCCATTTAACGAGCAAAGATCCTTCATGTATCAATTATCCATCCAAAAGGGTAAATTGCCTTCTCCAAGATTCCAACAGATAAATAATTCAGCTTTATCTTTAACTTTCATTAGTTTTCTCAACGCTTTAGAGCCCCCAACCTTCTAAGGAGTGATAGTAGGATGCACATCTTTACAATATTTAATGTGTGTGTAATTAGCCCAAAATGATTCTCTAGCACAAAATTTGATCCAAAGTTTTGTACAGTTAATATCTACAAGATGATTAAGCTCCTTAAATCCCAAACTACTACTAAAAAATAGTCTACATAGCTTCTTCCAAATGACCCAATGCACACTTCTTTTTTCACCAAACCACAATAAATTGTTAAAACATCTTTCAAAAAGCTTCTGAGTGCTAGATTTCATTTTGAAAACCTGAAAAACATTTAGAGGAATATAGTTTAAGATACTTTTAAGTAAAGTAATTCAACCACCAGACTAGAGGATAAGAATATGTTTGTCCAATCATAAATTATTTTCTTAATATTCTCTACCACATCATCAAAATGATTTTATTTCCTTTTCCCCTTAAAATTATTTATATTGAGATATTTAAGAGGTAATTTAGCTAAATTGAAGCCAGAAAAATCTTGCATCCACTTTTTAAAAGAGCAATTAACCTACTTACCCAAAAAAAACTTGATGTTTGGCCTTATTAATCATCATACCCGAAATGTCCTGAAAGTCCATCAACATCATGTGAGTTCTCCTTACCGCAATCTTACAAGCATTAGTAAAGATGATCACATCATCTGCTTAAGCGAAATAGCCCACATGAATATTTGTTTTGTGTTTGTATAAGGTTTGAGGATGGTTCAATTGCATTGTGTCAATCATCCTAAAGAAATAGTCAAAAGCAAGAACAAAAAAGTAAGAGACATTGGGTCACCTTGTTTAATGCCACTACTAGATATGAAATGCCCTTTAGTCTTACCATTAATAAGTATTATAAAAATTTCCATTAAGCCATTTGCCCATAATATTACATAAGTCCTCTCAGAAACCTATTGCATGCAACACTTCCATAATAAAATCTCAGCAAATAGTATCGTAAGTTTTTTGAAGTTTAATTTGATGGTCAAATTACCACCTCTGTATATTTTATCAATATCATTAAGTAATTCCTAGGCCAGTAAGATATTAGCAATGATGCTTCTACTTTGGAAAAAAGCTGTTTGATTGGAAGTAATAAGAAAGGGATGTTGTGCTTGTAATCTAGCCACTATAACCTCACTAATTATTTTAGACAACACAGATATAAGGCAGACAGGCTTAAAGTCATCCCACTTGGATTTCTTCTGGTTATTAGGTATAAGAATAATAATAGATATGGTGAAGTAGTTATTCAAATCCTCCCCTTTGAAAAAGATTTGAATAACAACAATAGTGTCTTATTTAACAATATTCCAAAATTTCTTATATGTATACTTAAAGAGCAAGGAAAAATATGTGGTTAACCATTTATTATGTCAACAAGTTATGCCTAATCGATAGTGGTGTTATGGCACCTTGGACCCATGACTTGGCTCTAACGTCCATTTCAGCTTTTTTATTTATGTAATAGGCTAGAGCTATGACACTAACCATGCACAATGTAACAACCTAATTCTAGTTTTTAAAATATAGTTCTCTCTAAAAATGGCAATAAAGCATGTGCTTGTTGGCTCCTACACATGACGAATGGCAAGGATAGTTGACTGGCTTTGTCCCCATTTTCAAAAGGCAAAAATAATGACATTAAGTAAACATCAGAGTAGAAGAATGAGAAATTTCTATTTAAGGATCTCCCTTAGGCTAGTTAAGGTTTCTGTCCTCTTTAGCCTCGTTTTTTCTCTCCCTCTCTATTTCCTATCATGTTCCTTCTTTGGTTTCTTTCTTGATTTTCTTACTTCTCGAGGTTGCACATTCATTTCGTAATTGGCTACTTTGGAGAAAGGGCTCGAGCTTGAACAAAGAGGTGGTGGGATCTTTCCCATTTCACCCATCAATGTACAAGAAGATTGGTGAGTTATCATGATCGTGAGTATCTTGCCTCTCTTAAAATTCTTCCATCTCTTATAGAGTTCCTATGTTTTATTGTAGAGAGTTATTAATAATCTTTTGTGTGTAGAGGAAGACTATAAGATAGATATCCACCCTCCCAATATATTTTTCTATAGAGAACTCTTAAGAAATCCCAGAATCCTAAGCACAACACTACAAAAAATAATGTCATAGCACTGCCATATGTTTAAGCTTAGCAACTTGACACCTACCACCTTAGCTAACTTTTCTTGGTTAGGTCTGACCCACTTATAGTTGGTCAACTCAAGTTCACATCTTTGTATATGTGACTCAAGGAATGTTTATTCCCTAACCATAAAATATTTCTTGTCAAATTCTAATGATCATGACTTTGTTAGACTATATATTGGTCCATGATTATTATGCCTTCATTTGCAATGTTAGTTATAGATCTCACAACCTC